TTGAAAATACTGGATCAGCAACAGTCTTTTGGTCCAAGAAGCGAAAGCCACCCTTCAGTCACTTGATAAAACATATTTAGAGGCAGTTGATTCCCAAAATATCGGCACCTAGGTTGTGAGCAGTCAACAAGCTCTTGAATGGAAGATTCGGACACGGAGTGAAAGGATCGCCTCATCTTATATCTGAAGATCCTTGCAGAGGCGTGTAGGAAGAAGATATGAACATTTATAAAACACAAATCCGATTGTTTCCGGGAGGGAGAGGGGTCGGTCGCATATCCTCAAGTTTCTGAAAAGTTCTGCAATTATTCCATGAAAAAAGTAAGGAGTAAAATTTGCCGGACCTTTCCTATTTTGGTATTAGTTCTCAATAACTCCAACTACTTCTCAGTTTGCAGCGTTTCGTCAATCCTCTCTCAACATTTCAAGCGCGCTTACCCCCCTCTCCCCGCTTCAAGATGGAGAAACTTCTTAGAAGGAAGTTAAGGTAGATCGGGGTTTGCAATCTCCCATATGCAGGCCCACTAAGGTATTACTATTTTGTTGAATACTCCCCTACAACGAGAACCAAATGAAGGCTCAGTCAACGTTGTTGGGGATGCGCACCCATAAATATGTGATGGCACGCCTAGGTGCAGGTTCACACCACACTAGCAATTTTTGCGTATGCAGGACCAGCACAGGATTACTATTTTGCCAAATGCCCCTACAACTGGCCAGGTGCTAGATGCGCTAGACCAACAAGGAGACCAGACTAGGGTCCAGCTGGCGTTAGTAGGGATGTGCACCCATGACAGTGTGATGGCACGCCTAGGCGCAGGCTTACACCGCACCAGCTGCCTGCGCCCGATTCCGCCTCCGGTCTCCTCGACTCTGTCTTGATATCGAAACCATGCGGGTGAATGGGGGATGCCGAGCAAACCTCTACCCTTGCCCCCACTCTGCTGCAGGGCACACGGTTGGAACCGTAGAAGAAGACTTTCGAACTGTCAGTATTCCGGTGGAAGAACAAAATATCACCCGATTTAGTATATCGTCTGACTACGTTCGTTACAAGATATTGTACTGGTCGAATAAGGTTGCATTGCATATCATTCTTAAAGTACTAACAACATAGATCATAGAAACTGGATGGACTTTTGCTGTGTAACTTCCCGTCGCAATTCAGTACCACCCCTATTCTCCAGTGTGGAATAACTGAGGCAAAAACCACACTGTTTGCCACTGAGCCAGACCCCTTCACCCTTGCTTGATTCTAGTCACCTCTGAAAGCTCATGCAAGTGGAGCATCCGTCTGTCTTTCCTGATTTCCATACCAAATGGCGACTATTCATATCTGACTTTGGCTCCTTGACAACTATCATCGACTACTGATATCCGTCTCTAGGGGGCTGCTTGCATGAACTCCAGGTCAGAACTGCAAAGCAAGACGGGTGGTCCATCTATATCCCACAAATAGGACAGTTCGGTGGACGCCAGTCCTCCGTAACTGCTGACTACGCTACTCGAATTCAAGAAAATAAGCGAAGTGATCTAAAGTAATCCGAACAGTCAGTGCCCTAAAAAGGATAATAATTAAGCCTTCATACCTAGACATTCCTCGATACGTTTATTAGAGGCAACAAGTTCATTGTAGGCCAGCGCATCGGTAGGCAGACAGCCAATAAGGTCTGCGCTGTAGAAAAGCTGGACGAAACCTGGGGCCAGATTGGGAGGGTGCGCGGAGCTAGCGCATCCCATAACAAATGACGCACATGGGGGGATGGTAGGGCGTCTAAATGCAGGCCTCACGCGGCGCCAATCAGTTGCACCCAGTCCCAGCATCGGATGGTTGACCGGCTCGGAAACAAGGACTGGTACGTTCGAGGTGGAAGAGAGGGGGGAGTCGACTCTGAAAAATCTTGAGAAGAAGAAGAAGAAAACTCGATCGCTGAGACAATATGTTTATTCGCCTGACGTTTTGACCTCCGTCGCGGATTCATCATCAGAGACATGACCTGGTTCTGAAAACTCTGTCCTCGCGACGCTTTCAGAGCATTCTTCATTATGAAAAAGTATGACACACATTGAAACTACCACAATGTGCTAAAAACTGTAGTCTGGAAAGTTGGTAGGCAATCAGGCTGCAGTGACTCCTCCTGAATGTGACTTCAATGGCACTTCCACTTGGAGGAGGTCTGAGCAGCCCCTTCTTGTGTGAAACCCCGGTTCCCATGTGCGAGGACAAGGTCGTATGTGACATGCTCAGAGGGGCTGTGTAGATTTGTCAATCACTGCAGCTGAGCGCGCTT